AAAAAAAAAACTCTTTTAAAGTGTTTAAAAAAAAAAAAAGTCACTTTGAAGAGTAAGATGTGCCTAACCCAAGCCATGGTATTTTCAATAGTCTCATATTCAAGAAGCATATGACTGAAGAAGAGGTGATGCCTTTAAATTGTGGTGTTGGCAAAGAATACTGAAAATGCCATGGACCACCAGAAGAATGGGCCAATCTGTCCTGGAGGAAGTGACGATGGCCAGGCTTCGTCTCAGCTACTCTGGTCATGTTGTCAGAAGGGACCATTCCCTGGAGAAGGATGTCATACTTGGTGAAGTGGAGGGTCAGCGAAAAAGGGGAAGGCCCTCAATGAGATGGACTGACACAGGGGCTATGGCAATGGGTGCAGGTACAGCGAGGACTGTGAGGCAGGACCAGGCAGGGTTTTGTTCTGCTGGGCATAAGGTCACTATGAGTCAGAGCTGACTCGATGGCACCTAACCACAACAGGGGTCACATCTTTCTGTTTCTTCACAGGCCTAGTGCACTTTTCTTGTGTACTGAACATTTTGGATGATACCTTTTGGAGACCCTCGGCCACACTGCTCTGAAGAGGGAGCTCTGGAGATGTTTGTTCTAGCATGCTTATAAATTACTAACCAATCTCCTTAAACTTGTGGAGGTGCTACAATGTGTTAGGACAGGTCTGGCCTTTCCCCTGAGTGTTTGAACAAATTCTCTGTTCTGAGATGCAGTCTCAACTCCTAAGACATGGCCCTTCTGGGGTTTCACTGAAAACCCAAGGTGGTTACATAGCTCTTCAACCTTGATGAGATTCGAGCCAACTTCTGTCTCCCCTGCTGTAGGAGATAGCTGAAATCTCTGCTCAGCTTTTTCAGTCTTTTGACCATTTCTTCTGAAGGAGCTCTTGTAGTGTAGTGGTTAAGGTATTTGGCTGCTAACCAAAAGGTCAGTGGTTCAAATCCACCAGCCACTCTGTAGAAGAAGGATGAGGCAGTCTGCCTTTGTAAAGACTGACAGCCTTGGAAACCCAATGGGGATTCCTATGAGTCGGCATCAACTCGATTCAATAACAGTGAGTTTGGTTTGGTTTTAACCATTGCTTCTTACTGGACTCTTTGGAGATTCTTTCACACATACACAGACCAGGGGTCAGCTAAGGGGTTAGTGGGGCATTATACACAGACTGGGGCCTCTCGCCCATGGATCTCTTCTTCCAGGATTTTCCCCAACATGTTCATCTATTTTGGCAACCCCATATTCTGTCTTCTGACCCTCATCCAAGTCACAGTGGGGCTGTCTGCCTGACATCTGGCTACCCTACACCATGCACACTGAGGAGGGCCTTCAGGACAAAGCCATATAAAGGGAGATGGTGCCCCGTGCCGTGCCTTTCTGTCGAGGATGGAACCCTCTCCCATTTCTGCCTGCGTTGGGCTGCCCCCAGTGCCTTCTGGTTGTCGTTTGTATATTTCTCCCAGTGCTTACAATTGCTATCTGTGAGAACATTAGTCTGAGGCCAGCTCTTCCCTCATTACTGGAACTGGAACTCATTTCTGCCTCACCTTTGCCTGTCAAGGAGTTAGTCTTTCGTAGCTGATGTCCAAACTCTCACAGGATTGTAATCTTTAAGCCCCTGTTGACATAGAACTAAGATTTGGTCCTCTTTGACATTTTATCTAGTGGAATTTTGTATGTGGCTGTGCATTTGAAAAATCATTAGCTTAGATTTATCTGTAGCCTCCACCCACTCTCATAAACCGTTCAGCTAAATTTAAATAACGAAATACGTTTCTGAGTTTAACTTGTTGAAATTTAACTTGTTTAAAGACATGTGTGCCATGCTAATCTGTCTGAAAAGAAAAAAAAAATATGCTGTCTTTCAAGAAATTAATATCTGCAATGCATTGTATGTTTGAAACCTGACCGCCCCAAGGCCACCAGTGTTAAACAGGAGAAAGATGAGGCTGTAGGCTTCCATAAAGATTGACAGTCTTGGAAACCCTCTGGGGCAGTTCCACTCTGCCCTGTAGGGGTGCTGTGGGTTTGGTTTGGGCTTTGCTTCTATGAAGATTGACAAAAAGCCTTGGAAACCTTGTGAGGTAGGTAGTTCCACTCTGTCCTCTGGGAGTGCTGTGAGCGGAAGCACCCCATGGCAGTTTAGTCTTTTATCCCCATAACAAATTTTGGTGAAAATCTATCCATGATCCAGTAACAGGCAAATGAGCAAACACTTGGTTTTGTTTGTTCAGAAATTGAAGAGGTTTTCTCTCAGCCCTGTAACACCCATTTGTGTTCAGGGGTATAACCAGCTATCTCCTCTGGCCCCAGAAGCATGAGTGGGCACCTGAATTTAACCTTATTGAATTAACAGGTTATGGTTTGTGGGTATTTTATTGTCAGGGGGAAAAAACAACCCATCAGATTGTCATTGGCTTTTGATTGCATTTACAGGTTTTTCGTTATTTTGTTACTGGCTGTCAGCATTGGCTGGGTCCCCATTGGGCTGACATCCCACAGTGGAAATCTGTTTGAATACCTGCACTCAGTAACAATTTACCTGGCTCCGCCCATTGCTGCCCTCTTCCTGCTTGCCATCTTTTGCAAGAGAGTCAATGAGCAAGTGAGTGTTGGCACGGCCACCAGGTGGCACGAAGGGTGGGGTCATCTTCACATTGTTGTTGTCTTTGTAAGAGTTGCCCCCAGAGGGTCTCTAGGGCCTTGAGCGTTCAACTCTTGTGTCATCTGCTTTCTGAGAGATGACTTCCTTGCAGGAGGGTGTGATCTGAGCCCCTGTTGGTCATGGAAGGAAAGTGAAAACTCTTGCTGAGCCCTGCCTCCTTGTAATGGAACCTGCTACGGCTGCACCATAAATGAGGCAAATGGGCAAAGGATTCCCTGCCCTGCATCTCTAACTGGGGAACATATTCGTCTGTTTCCTCCTTGCACCAATGTGTTCCACTCAGAGATTTCCCGCTTGCCAGGGGAATAGAGTAGTGGGCTCCTCCACCTCCCCTGCAGTGCGGAGATTAATTACTGTAACCATCTCTCCCAGCACACTTAAGATCAAAACTAAGACGATCCAAGGAAAAGTGCAATCCTGTCATTAATAAGTGAAATCCATAACTTTGACATGTATTCAGTTCATATCTAGTGCCTTCTATATGCCTGTCCTGTTGTTGTTGTTGTTGTTGTTGTTGTTATTGTTAGGTGCCGTTGAGTCAGCTCCAACTCATAGCGACCCCGTGTACAACAGAATGAAACACTGCCCGGTCCAGGGCTGTATCAGTGTTTCGCTGATATTCATAAGGTGTTCACTGCCAATTCTTTAAGAAGTAGGTGCTCCCTTCCTCCTGACTCTGTCTCAGCCTGGAAGCTGCACTGGGGCCTGTCCCCCATGGCGCCCTGCGGCGTTTGAAATACCACTGGCGTAGGCTGCAGCCTCACAGCAGCACGCAGGCCTTCACAGGACCTACTGACAGACGAGCGACGGATGCCTGTCCCGGGCCCTGGGATACGCAGTAGACCACACCCTTCACTTCTGGGCCCTCAGGGAGTCTAGTCAAAGGGACAGGTGATACACAAAGATAAAGATGCCTGTGAGTGACACAGTGCTGGCTAGGAGGGCAAAAGGGGACACTGGAAGGTGTCAGGGAGGCGCTGGTGGGGACAGTGATGAGAGAAGAGCCCTGCTATGGGGTGACCTTGAATGCGAAGCTGAAGGGGGGCCAGGAACACCAGGATCCAGAGATAGACCCAGGCAGCGAGGAGGCACAGGGAAGGCCAAGTCAGCAGCACAGTGGGCAGGTCGGACCCACAGGAAGAAGGCCCAGTGGCTGGGCCAGGGAGGAGGTGGTGCCACGTGAGGCCTGGTGTAGGGAGCATCTTCCGGTGTGTACCCTGAAAGGTGGAGCGGGCGGGATGAACAGGAGGGCTGCGGTAGGCAAGCAGTGGGACGGGCAGGATCCCTGCCTGCGTGGGAGAGATGGCAGCCAGAGAGAGAGGGGGAAGGGGCTGCATCCGGATACGTCTGGGAAGCGGGACCAGCAGGATTTGCTGGGGTGTTGATGGTGAGGCATGACGAAAAGACAAGAGCCAGGTGACTGCCGGGGTTTGACCTGAGCAGCCAAGCAGACAGAGCCTCCATTAGAGAGACAAGGGAGACTAGGGACTTTGTGGTCACCATAGGTGCATGTAACATGGTCATGTTTTCAGAAGGGACCATTCCCTGGAGAAAGATGTCATGCTTGGTAGGGTGGAGGGTCGACGAAAGAGGGGGAGGCCTTCAACGAGATGGATTGACACAGTGGCTGCGATGATGGGCTCAAGTGTAGCAGGGATTGTGGGGCTGGCGCGGGATCGGGCAGTGTTTCGTTCTGCTGTGCATGGGGTCGCTATGAGTCGGAAACGACTCGACGGCACTTAACAACAACAACAAATAGGTGCGGAGCGTCTCTTCATTACCTAACGTAAAAGTCTTCCCAGGTTTGGTTTTGTTGGTTTCTAAGTTCTCTGACTGACCTTGGTAAAGTACAAGGTCTTTGGTCTTCGGTCTCTGTTCAGCCTAAGAAGGTAGCATCTGCATGTGCAGATGCAGGGTCTTCACACCCTCACTGTGGAGAAAGGAGCCCTCGTGGTGCAGGGGTTAAGGCATTGGGCTGCTAACCAAAAGGTCACTGGTTGGAATCCACCAGCCGCTCTGCTTTGGGAAAGACTGACAGCCTTGGAGACCCTGTGGGGCAGTTTCACTCTATCCTCTAAGGGCACTGTGGGTCAGAATCCGCTCCAGGCCAGTGGGCCGTCAGTTTATAACTAACAGATGTCTTTGTCACAGAGGGGTAACGGCAGGTCTCCACAGTTGCTGGGTCTCCTCACTATCTCCTGTTCTCTGCTTTGGGTGGTCCCCAGCCGTCAGCTGCTCTGGCAGATTCTCCTGCCCATGTTTCTGGTTCGGGGGGTCCTTCTAACAGCGGGAAGGAGGGGAGCGAGCCCTGCCCCTCACAGCTCTCCCTCAGGCGACTCCTCTCTCAGACCCCCTCTTTGGCAGGGCGCTTTCTGGGGCCTGAGCAGCGGGCTCCTGCTCGGCATCTTGCGAATGGCAGCAGAGTTTGTCTACCGGCCACAGAGCTGCGAGGGGAGCAGCACGTGCCCAGCCGTCCTCTGTCGCATGCACTTCCTCTACTTCGCTGTGGCCCTCTTCGTGTTCACGGCCCTCGTCATCCTGGGGATCTCCTTCCTGACGTACCCCATTCCCGACAAGCACGTGAGTGTCCCCGTCTGGACTTCCAGGCCCACCCCCATCCGGAATGGAAGGGAGAGAACTCTCCAACAGTCCATCAGTTTAGTGTTCATCTGATGAACAAGTCTGCCTTTTCTGTTTAAAAAAACTGATTCGGGTGAAAGTTTACAGACCAAATTGGCTTCCCATTCAACAATTAAGACACATTTTGGTTTGTGACATTGACTGCAATCCCCACCTGTAACAGCCCTCTTTCCACTTCTTCCCTGTTTGACTTCGTCCTTCTCTTCTGCCCTTTCCTGCCTTCTCAGCTTCATACCTCAGCATGTGCTGCCCTTTCGATGGGTCAGCTGCTGGACAGGAAGATGACTGAGAGGCAGGGCACCACCAAGACAGTCCGAGAATACCAGAAACCAAAACCAAACCCACTGCCTTGGAATGGATTCCAGTTACACCACCCCTAGAGGACAGAGTGGAACTGCCCACAGGGTCTCCAAGGCTGTCAATCTTCATGGAAGCAAAGCCCAAACCACACCCCCTGCCGTGGAGTCAATTCCGACCCACAGCGCCCCTAGAGGACAGAGTGGAACTGCCCTAGAAGGTTTCCTACCAGCCCAGCGGCATATTAGCCCGTGCTCCGCAGTCCAAGAACTTTGGGAGCGGGGGGGGGGGGGAGCAGGTCTTAGGCTGGCTCTTGGAGCTGGCCACCTCAGGGAGGTACAAGAGCCCAGTAAGGAGAGCCAGGCTGAGACCCCATTAGCCCAAGGCTGGCAAAATAGAGTAATATATACCCAGGCCAGAGTGTATGTGGTGGGAATGTCTGCTTAGTCACACATCTGCTTATCCCCACCTTGTACACACACACACATTCATATACACACACACTCACACAGATGGCTGGGTTTTGTCCTTCCTGAAGTTTCCGTAGGGGTGTTTAGGAAGAGGAAAAAAAAAAAAAATGACAGACCTGTTAGACAGGAAGCCCTTCACCTGCGCCCGTCCTGCCTGGAGCAGAAGCGGACTGGGCTGTGGGTGGGCAGCCCCCGCTTCAGAACCGGAAGGAGCCCAGGGTTCACTGCTGTCCACTCCCATCCTGCAGCCCAAGGGCACAGAAGTCCACATGGGCTGTGTCGCCCTTTGTGGCATCACAGCCACTGGTGCCAGCCTAGACACACATCAGTGTGTCTGGCCCCTGTTCCCACCCGCCACAGCCGTCCACAATCCGACCTTGGTGCAGTCTGTCTGGGGCCCTGGGCTAGCTGCTGCCATGGTGCCGTGTGGCCCGCGTGGCAGGGCCCGTGTGGTGACATGCTCGCTCTACCCCAGCTGCACAGGCTTTGCTGGAGTTTACGCAACAGCCTAGAGGAGAGAGTGGACCTGGATACCCTGAAGAAGGGGAAGAGGGCCCCCGAGCCCACGGCACAGCCAGGTGAGGGGAGGCCCTGAAGCCCTCGGGGGAGGCCCCGCTTCCCGGCGGCCGTCCGTGCCAGCACTGAGTGATCGCCCTGCACCTTGCTGGGCGTTTGGGGCACTCACGTGTGCAACGCCGCTCACACCATGTGCACACCCCTGTGGGACAGTATGGGCTGCGGGCTGCGTGGGGCAGCATCAGCAGGTGGACTGAGGACAAGCGGGGAGAAGAGGCGGGTGGGGACTGAGGCAAGGGGCCTCGCTGTCGTGCTGTGGCCAGAGAGTGAGGAGGAGGAGCAGGAATCAGGGATGCACGTGGCCTGGAGCCTGTCCCGAGGGTGACCCACCAAGGCACACACTCAGACACCAACATGACCCCACAGAGAGACTGTGCTGGGACGTCTCGATGGGCGCACCGAGGGGCTGGGGCAGACCTCGGCCCGTGAGCACGTGCGAGAGGACAGTGCTGGCGGCCCGTGGCCAGTCAGGCCCAGCCTCGGGATCCCTCGTGGGGAGGGCCGGGGGGGTAGCAAGAGTGGCTCCTTGCTCAGGGGAGTCCAGGGCAGTGCAGCCCCCACCCTCAGGATTTCTCCTCAAGGGCAGGGCATCCCCACATGGCTGGGAACAGCTGTTGGACGGAGCACTGAGTTGAAGGTCCGAGGACACGAGTGGGGGCAAAGGACGGGCCGAGAGTGCAGGTCGCCTGAGGTCACAGTGGTGGGGTGCAGGGTGCAGGGGCATCATACAGGATGGATGTAGTGCATCAATGCAAAGACGGATGTGTGAAGTGGGATCATGATGGGTGGTCAAGTCCGTGTGGCCAGGCCCAGGGGAGCTCGTGCAAGTGGGACGGTGTGGGTGAGGGCCGACAAGGCCCCTGCCCCAAGTGGTCAACGACAGAAGATATCGGAGCTTGTGGCTGGCTCTAGCAGCCAAAATCCCCAAGGGAAAGGGGGCCAGGTGCAAGAAGGGGAGGCAGAGCCCTTTGGTGCTAAGGCCTCCCACAGGGTTTCAGGGGAGGAGATGACAAGTGAGGACTGTGGGGGGGGTGGGGGAGAGTGGCCCCACCTCCAGGGCTCATGGGAAGCTGCTCCTGGGGGACCCAGGGCCGCGTGTCAGCAGATGGGCTCAGCAAACAGGGCCGTGGGCCGTGGCCGAGGTCACCCGGGCTGCACTGGAGACTGACGCAAACGGGGATGAACAGCCTAATGAGCTTAGTCTGCAGAGGAGCTGCGGCGAGACCGAGGGCAGCGCACAGGCAAGGAGTGGACGCTGGGTTTGGGTTCCGTGGGCTCTGCCAGTGCAGGGGTGAGGCCGGTGGGGTGATGCCCTGGACTCTTGTCTCCTCTGAGGGCATGAACTGGCTGGTGGCCCCTTCCCAGTTCCCCGTCATTCCACAGCGGGGAAAGGGAAGAGAGTGGACAAGCTGTTCACTGCCCACGAGCCAGGCACTGTTGACAGCACTTCAAGGTGTTACTGACCCCATCTTAAAGGTGGGAGGGCAGGCCCTGAGTGGCCAGGGCCCCATGGCTAAGCAGCAAGCGGTGCAGCTGGCGTCTGAACCCAGGCCACCTGACGCAGCACGTGCCAGCCCCTGGGCTCTCGCTGCCCCCAGGCGGCCTCTGTCCTTGGGGTGACCCTGGGCCTCTGTTTGGCCTCCGGTTTGATGGCCCCCTCGCCTTTCACATGTTGGCACCAGCTCCTATCCCAGCAGCCTGTGAGCCTAGAAGCCGGGTGACAGTGTGGTTGCTCGAGCGTGTCCCCAGTGCCGAGAACAGCCGAGTCCCCAGCTTCCAAAGCCTCTGCTGGAGAGACCCTCCCCCGGGGCCGAGGCTTCCTGGTCCCTGGCGCCTGTCATCCGTGAGGCAGGAGACCAGACACACAGCTGGCCTGGGGGCTGTCCAACGTGAAAGCAAAGACCACTCAGACACAAGACGTGTGAGGGAGGGTGCGGCCTGCATGGCCGCCCTCAGGGAAGGAGCTGCCCCCAGGAGCCAGAGGTGTGGGAGGCAGCCAGGCCTGGGTTGCCCGGGAGCTGGCCATGGTGCTGCCCAAGCTGGTCACACTCACTGCCTTCAGTGCCGGTCAGCTGGACTGCCTGCCTCCGACAGTCGTGACCAGGAGAGGAGCTCAGAGCCGCGGCCACAGGCCCAGACCTGGGTTGGTTGGTTTGTTTTAATTTTTATTGTGATTTGGGTGAAAGTTGACCGAGCAAATTCATTTTCCATCCAGCAGTTCATACGCATTTTGTCTCATGATATTGACTGTAATTCCCCACCATGTAACAGCTCTCCTCCCACTTCCTCCCTGTGGTCACCTCTTCCCTGTGTCCTTCCCTCCCGTGCCCTCCCGTCCCTCCAGCTGTCTCCCTGTGCAAACACTGCCCTTCTGGTCTCCCATGGTTGATCGCTCTGAGTGTATCTACCTGATGTCAATGTTCACCCCATATGCCTGTTTGTTGTTTGGCTGGAAGCCACAGCAGTGAGTTCAATTTCAGGCCTGAAGGGTGACTAGGGGCCGTAGTCTCACGGTCTCATCCAGCTCCATCAGACCAGCAAACCTGGTCCTTTCTAGGATTTTGAGTTTTGTGCCCCTGTTCTCCACTCTGTCCAGGGATCTCCTGCACTGATCCCCCTCCGAGTGGTTGACAGTGGGAGCCAGGCACCGTCTAGTTCAGACCTGGAGAGCCGTGCCTGGCTGTGTGCAGGCCTCCTGCCACTGCCACCTGCCCAGTCTTGGGCCCTGGGCACAAGGGCACATGTCCCCAGGCAGCCCCCACTGCCTCCCTTAGCCCTCAGCCTCAGCACGTGTGCCCCCAGCGACATGGGCAGCATCCCAAGTCCAGAGGCTGATGGACTGAGCCCTGGCATCCATGCACCGGGCGCTTCCCCTCTGCACTGGCCCTGAATCCCTGACCTTGGCCTGTCCCCTCCATTCCAGGTGCACTGCAACAGAACCAGGGCTGCCTGCGGAAGGCCTGGGACATGTTCTGTGGCCTGGAGCTGAAACCAAACCCAAGCCTGGCTCCCGGAGAGCTGACCCCCGGAGAGCTGACCCCCGGAGAGCTGAGCCCCCGAGAGCTGACCCCCGGAGAGCTGGACCCCGGAGAGCTGAGCCCCCGAGAGCTGACCCCCGGAGAGCTGGACCCCGGAGAGCTGACCCC